TAGATCTCTAATGTGACATTCTCCCATGTCAGATGACAATGCCAACCAGAGCCACTCAATCAGAGCTGTTAAGGGCCTAAAAGTCAGCAGACGTTCTGCATTAAGGTTCATTGACTAGAATTACAATGTTCTTCTCTTTCTCACATCTTGGTACCTTCTGAGATGATCTTAGTAACAAAATGAGTATTTACTTTGAATTTATATGTGAATGATAAAACTTGAGTCTATCTTTTTGTCTGCAATGTGCATTGTTGCAATGGATTCATATCAAGGACTAGGATCTACACCCTTATCATACATGCAAACACAATCAGAAGAATTCTGTCAAATATAGGAGCAGAAGGGGTGCTGACAAGCCACGGAGACAGGCTGAGGGGCGATAAGAGTTGGGAAGTTTCACAGCTTTTGATAAGGATCATCAGTGAGTAGGTGACAGGAAGCAGCCCCAGTTACAGAAACATCAAAACAGAAACACAGTAGTTAATGCTTCACCTCAGAATGTTACATTTGTAAAAACTTTCTAAAAATATTTCTAGTGAAGGCCTAGGTGAGGCACCATCTATGTGTTTCAACACTGGTTGTTAAATATACAATATTTATTCCAACCTCCTTAGTTAGAAGCAGCGGTAGATGCAACCTTTTCAAGTTTACTAGAACTTTACTTGCTAATGTATATTTCAGAGACTTTGGAGTCTTTAAACAGTGAATATCTAGGAGTATAAGGACAGACCTACAAAAGGCATGTATGTTGCATAAATTATTCACTAGCACAGAATTAGTTTGATATTTTCATTTTTCCATAACTAGGCAATGAAAATACTGAAATAATATTTTAAGCTAAATTTGACAATTGAAGTTACATAGATTATATAACAAACATGTTACATATTATATATAACATACAAATGTATATATATGTTGTAGACTATATATAAATTTGTATTAATATATTTTTCAAAATGCCAAATGTAAACAAAACAAAGCTCTAAAGAATGCAAGTAGTAAAATAGGTAAAAATCAATTTAAATTATCCCAGCTGAAAATGTAAAGAACTTTCCAAGAATTTAAAGCCATGTATTTTGTAAAAATGCATAGTTCTCAGTTATTCATGAAAGCTTGTCTACTCACCGAAATTTGTAGGGCTGGAGAGATGGCTCAGTGGTTAAGAGCACTGGCTACTCTTCCAGAGGACCTGGGTTCAATTCCCAGCAACCACATGGAGACTCACAACTATCTATAACTCCAGTTCCAGGAGATCTGACGTACTTTTCTGGTCTCCAAGGGCACTAGGTATACACATGGTACAGAAACATATGTGCAGCCAAAACATTCATATACATAAAAATAAATAAAATGTATTTGCAGTCTGTGTTAGTGTTCCATAGCTGTAATAAATTCCTGAGATAATCAATTTGTCCTTCAGTTCCTCCACTGATGGAGCATAGCATGGTGACAACTACCCACTTGATGGCTGGGAGTGAAAGAGGAAATGAAAGATTGGGGTCCCATGATGTCCTACAACAGCAAGCTTCCAATCACCTGAAGATAGACCTTTGTCCAGGGCTACCTCAAAGATTCCAGAGCATCCCAGTAGGACCAACCTGATGATCAAGCCTCTATATAGCACATGGGCATCTCAGACCCACACAGTAAGAACTCTTAAGAACTGTGGGACCATTTAGGGGGCACATACAGAGTAGTACAGTTTTTGAGTCGTCCAACAGGATAGTCCTAGCATGTCTTGTAGGGTGTGTCTACCACAGCTAACAGGAAATGAAGAAGACAGGCGGCCAATAGCCACACTTTACTTTTGTTAATTTCTTTATTATACTTTATTGTTTATCTTGTTTCAAGAATATAAAAAAGGAACTAGTGTTAATCTCCAATATAAGACATAAGTGCATCTGTTTCCTCAGGATCGGTTACATCAAAGTTTCTAAGTTCTGGAAATTACACTAGATGACAATAGCATGAGATGCCATAGCCCGTGAACCTTCTGGCTCCTCCAAGCGCCTTGGTTTGGTGTAGGGTTGATAACAAGGTGTTGTGATGATAAGTCCTGGCTAATGGACATCTCATGGTTCCTGTAGAATATTCCAACTCCATTAACATCTAACCTGAGATTCAGGTCATATGAACAAGCAGATGGCTGTATATGTCCTGATTTAACAGCAAATCTTTGGCTGTTTCTATTCTATATTCTTCTGGGTCAGAAGCCATAAAATGATCCTAGAGGAAGGGAAATTATTTTTGTTGTCGTTATTGTTGTTTAAATCTTGCCCTGGTTCCCAACTGATCCAAGCACTGATATCAGCACTAGGTTGTTCTTATCAAGTGTCCAGTGATGTGTTTCTCTGTATGAGGCACAGGAGAAAGGACACAGACTTTGGAGTCAGACTTGAGCCTAACTTCCTGCTCTGCTCATTACTGCTTACAACCACTAGTTCATTCTCACTGCTTGCCTCTCTTCAGTGCTTAGCTGCATGGAGACGTGGTCACAGTAGAGAACACCTGGAAAAGCATCTGGCATAGCTGTTTGCATAGCTCTGCCTCAGGGGTTTCCAGCGTCAGGTATAGACTGAGCTTCTTTCTTGTTGTTGCTTAGTGTCTGCCTTGTTATCAGGGATTTGTTGTATTTTGTGACAGAATCTTGCTGTATGTAGCTCAGGCTGTCCTTGAAACTGTGATCTTCCTGCCTCAGCCTTCTAAGTGAGGAGATTAGAGGTGACTGTCACCACACCAGTTGAGGACAAAGGTTTTTTTTTTTTTTTAAAGTTGAGAATCCTGAAGATCACATGTCAGTGTCAAGGGAACGGATAAACAAAGTGGCTTTCCTCTTTTTTTCTCTCTCTCTCTTTCTTTCTTTTTAAGATTTATTTATTTTATGTATATGAGTACACTGTAGCTATCTTCAGACACACCAGAAGAGGGCATCTGATCCTATTACAGATGGTTGTGAGCCACCATGTGGTTGCTGGGAATTGTACTCAGGACCTCTGGAAGAGCAGTGAGTGCTCTTAACCACTGAGCCATCTCTCCAGCCCCGGCTTTCCACTCACTTTGAGAATTTTAAGTGCCCCCCTCCCCAGACAGGCAGCACACAAGCTTTTTAGGTAGAGTTATGATGTTAGGCCGTGACTAGGTGATGTTCTCAAGAGTCAACCACAACCTGCTAAGAGCAAATCCTCCATTCAAACAGATGAACAATGAGCCCATGTCAAGACTCAGAAAGCTGTGCTTCTGTCCCATTTACAATGTTTTAAAAGTGTTTAGGATTTCATTAGAATGTCCTAAGTCATGAAGAAAACAAGAGGCCTTCAGTATCTAAAACAGGAAAGGCATTAGTTGTTGGTGGTGTATTCACTCATATAGAATACGATGAATAAATGGATGGATGAGCAAGGTGTCGGAGAGCATGCTGTAGAGTACAGCATTGACTATGCAGTAATTAGAATAAGCTCTTGACTGGTAAACACAAGTTAGTGCCCAAGCTTGCTAACAAGGTGTCAGAATCGAATCCTATACAGGCCCACTTTGCAAGGCAATTTCAATCTGCCATTCTTCGACTTTAAAGTTACCCAGTTATTCACTTCTCCCGGCCAGCAGGGGAGTGCCTTGGCTTGAGAGAGGGTGAGATGAAATGGGATGTTTTAAGGTGTGAGCTTCTGGTCTAAAGGTGGTCTGGATATATGGGATGGAATGAGAAGGGAAAGTGAGAGTCTGGAAGAAGCTGGAAGACAGTGAGGCATAAGGTGTATCTGACAAATTCTTCATATACCACATTTCCCCCTGCACACTCTGATAAAAAAAATATCCAGATTCTTCCTGCACTGGTAACAGGAATGAGGGCTCAGCAGAGCTAATGCTTGTCATGTCCAGTTGGAGGCAGTGCCAGGGCCTAGCATCCTAGACTTCTCTGACATAGAGTGTGTGCCTGCCTGTTCGGAGAATTTGAAGAGAGTAGTTTAGTTAGAATTAAGATGCCGTAGAGAAAAGTCTTGAGAAATCTGATTAGAGATATAAATATGAGAACTGGATGTTGTGGTGCACACCTGTGATCTCTGCGTTTAGGAAGGAGAAGCAGGAAGATCAGGAGTTCAAGACCAGCCTGAGCTACTTGAGACCCAGTATAAATTAATAAGAGATAGATTACAGAGTGCCTTAACTGGTACAGATAAAGAATTTGGGTTTTTCTGTGTCAGTAATGATGAAATCATTTTTTAAGTAATAAACCCCTTTTTAATAAGAAATCTTATGAGGTCAGTATGCACAGTGAACTTGAGAAGTAGTCTTCCTCCCCCAGCTCCTGGGCTGAGTGACAGGAAAAGACAGCCATCGGCTGTGACATAGGAGCCACCAACGGCCAAGTGCTTTAACGCTGATAACTGCATATCCTGCGCAGTCAGGAGAAAACAGCGCTATTTTCCTCTCTCAGTTCTCTTCCCTTTTACAAACAGATGAGAGAAACAGAGAGACACAGAGTCCATTTAAAGAGCACCCTTTGTTCTGATTAGGAGCAATTTTAAGCACTTAAGAATTCACACAAAGTCTAGCCTTCAAAAAGAAAACAGGGTCCCTCAACTAGAGAGGAAACAGAATTGTTTCCATTTTAGTGACATTTAGTGAGAAGAAGCTCATAGACATTTAGACATTTAAATTCTTTCCCCGCTAGTAAACTAAATATATAATATGGTATATTTTGAGCATTGGTATTACAACTGTTTTTTAAACAAAAGACTTTCCTTGTGCCTTATTAAAAACCAAGCCGGTGAATCTTAAATACAATGTGTGACATCCACGGCAGGCATTCTATTGTGCATAGTTTTGACTGTCAAGAATTGACAGTGTTTGGCTGGCTGCACTTGCTTAGGACCCTCTCCTGTGTGGCTTCTGAGACTGTGATGCACATGCACCCGCCCTTTTCTGGGAACACGAAACGCCTGAGTCAGGCGGCGTGGCTATTAAAGCCCCAGGTCGGGCTGGGCTGCGGCACTGCAAGGATGAGGCTTCCTGTCTGGCTGTGGCTGAGCTCCACGGTCCTCGCTGCCTGCCGAGCAGTGGAGGAGCACAACCTGACTGAAGGGCTGGGGGATGCGAGCGCCCAGGCTGCCTGCCCTGCGAGGTTGGAGGGCAGCGGGAGGTGCGAGGGGAACCAGTGCCCCTTCCAGCTCACCCTGCCCACGCTGACCCTCCAGCTCCCGCGGCAGTTCGGCACTATGGAGGAGGTGCTCAAAGAAGTGCAGACCCTCAAGGAAGCCGTGGAAAGTCTAAAGAAATCCTGCCAAGACTGCAAGTTACAGGCTGACGACCATCGAGAGTCCGGCTGGAATGGAGCAGAGACAGCCGAGGACAATCGAGTCCAGGAACTGGAGAGTCAGGTGAACAAGCTGTCTTTGGAGCTGAAGAATGCGAAGGATGAGATCCAGGGGCTGCAGGGGCGCCTGGAGACGCTCCATCTGGTAAATAGGAACAGCATCGAGAACTACGTGGACAACAAAGTTGCAAATCTAACCTTTGTTGTCAACAGTTTGGATGGCAAGTGTTCCAAGTGCCCCAGCCAAGAACACGTCCAGCCACAGCCAGGTAGGTGTAATAAGGTTCTTACAGTTTGCTCACGAAAGCTGTATAGCCAGATAGTGATTATAAACATTAACCTGAGGGAGTATAAGTTAGTCAGACTTTCACCTGTTACGCTATGGCAGGAGAAACAAGTATTTTCTCAAATGAGACAATAGAAATGGTATAAAAGATCTAACTATAAAAATTCCATTAGTTGTACACATTAGAGGCCACTTGCAGTCTCTAGACCTTCTCTGCTAGGCCGACCAACAGAGGAGCAGAAGCAGATTCCTCCCGGGCTATTGCATTTGAACACAGGATAGATACCGCAAGGTGCTTGGCTATGCTTACTTAGGTCCCAGAGAATCAGGTCTTGGGTGTCTGATAGCCCCTTAGAGCAGCTCACGGGCTCTATAAGGCTTACACAAACAATCTGCTGTGCTAGATTCTCAAATATCTAGATTTTATACATGGAATAAAAGCACATCTTTCTCTCTCTCTCTCTCTCTCTCTCTCTCTCTCTCTCTCTCTCTCTCTGTGTGTGTGTGTGTGTGTGTGTGTGTGTGTGTGTGTGTGTAGAACTTTGGGTTGAGACTTAGTGGTACATCCATACTCACCATCCCAATAGATTAACATTAACACTACTTAAGGTCACAGACCTAATGGCCTTCTGTGCCCATGACATTGTTTTCCCTGATTTCTAGATTCCTAGGACCTTTGTGGGTGGGTTGCCACACCCTAGAAGGTCACCTCTGTGTTACTATCTGTGTTCATGCTGACTGTGAGGTTGATGGGATATAGTAGAGATAACTTCCATTTGGAATCTCTAGAGACAGTAAGTCATCATGTCATAGAATGCTATCACTAATGACTAAGGTAGACATTCATGTTTAAGAGGCATCACAAGGTGTATATTAAATGACACTGCATGTAACTTTTAATGACACAAAAATACTTTTCTCCTAAAAGTTTAAGACTCTCCAGAGTTCTAAATACATGCAAACATATTTTTGTGTCTCACAGGTATCTATTAAACTTTTTTTTACCTGACTCAAATTTTATTAAAATTAACTGGGAACAAATAGTTGATCTCTAATCTCTACAAAACTACCAAATGATTGTACTGAGCATAATTATAACTCTTCTTCTAGAAACCAAACTGTGAAATATTGGCTGGCCATACCTTCCTGGATAATAAATTCAGGATAACACTAGTATATTATTGGGGAATGCCACTTTCCCCCACCTTTTAAAACTGGAATGGCTTTATATCATTCTCAGGTGAAATGAGAGTGAGTTTCAGAACAATGCTGTTCCCTGAAGGTTGACATTTGGAACATATGTAACACTTTCTGTAACGATTGCTGTAACAATTGCTGATCGTATCCTAGGAGACTTGGACTCATCTCACCTTTAAGACAGAGGACTATAACGGTTATGAGAGCAAAGCTCTGTCAGGCAGATGTGACATTATGTCCCAGCTCTGTCACTTAACACTTAGTTGCTGTGAGGAAAGTCCCTGACCTTCTGGGAGACTAAATAACTGTATAAGCAAACTGGCCGTGATACCCACGTCATAAGGTTGCTGTGTGGGTTCAACGAAAACTGTCACAGTGTTTGGCAAAGTTTCTGAAACCTTGCATACACTTATTCTTACTACTGTTTGCTGTTAGTGTTGTAACCATGATTGTCATCCAAGGCAGTCCTGTATACTTGATAACGCCAGTTGGTTCTGAGGCCTTAGTTACCATCTGTTAACCAGGTTCAGGTGAGTGCATCATCGCCAGGTTCCACTATCACCAGCAAGCAAATTGCCCAATTGCTTTTTGAGTCTGAGAATCCTTGAGATACATAGCTTTGACTAAAAAAACAATGCTTTTGTGTTTTTCATTCTTCCCTCTTCCAGTTCAACATCTAATATACAAAGATTGTTCTGACTACTACGTGATAGGAAGGAGAAGCAGTGGAACCTACAGAGTTACGCCTGATCATAGGAACAGCAGCTTCGAGGTCTACTGCGACATGGAGACCATGGGTGGAGGCTGGACGGTGCTGCAGGCTCGCCTTGACGGCAGCACTAACTTCACCAGAGAATGGAAAGACTACAAAGCCGGCTTTGGAAACCTTGAACGAGAATTTTGGCTGGGCAATGATAAAATTCATCTTCTGACCAAGAGTAAGGAAATGATTTTGAGAATAGATCTCAAAGACTTCAATGGTCTCACACTTTATGCTTTGTACGATCAGTTTTATGTGGCTAATGAATTTCTCAAATACCGATTGCACATTGGTAACTATAATGGCACAGCGGGAGATGCCTTACGGTTCAGTAGACACTACAACCATGACCTGAGGTTTTTCACCACCCCAGACAGAGACAATGACCGGTACCCCTCTGGGAACTGTGGGCTCTATTACAGCTCAGGCTGGTGGTTTGATGCATGTCTCTCTGCAAACTTAAATGGCAAATATTATCACCAGAAATACAAAGGTGTCCGCAATGGGATTTTCTGGGGCACCTGGCCTGGTATAAGCCAGGCACAGCCTGGTGGCTACAAGTCCTCCTTCAAGCAGGCCAAGATGATGATTAGACCCAAGAATTTTAAGCCATAAATTGCTAGTGTTCATCTCTCTGGGCACTCACTATCTAAGAGGACAGTGCATTCCTTCAGTTCTTTATCATATGCCTCGGTTTATATTCCTTTCCTATAGCTAAACACTTTACAGCTTTTAAAATAAAGCTGAAAATATCTAAAAAGACTCCTTTATTGCTGTTATATGAAGAATGCTTGAAGGCACTGGAAATATTGACAATTATACATTATAATTGCAAAACTTTTAATTTTATTAGTTGAAAAGTTTCCTACTATTTTTATTATTTTTTTATAATAAAAACCTAAATTATTCAGCAAGCTAAATTCTATACACACAAGTTTTATTTTCACTAGGGCTAAACATACACATTTGAAAGTGTAACAGTCTTTTTAGGGTACACTTACTTGTGTATCTGTAGCCAAGAACTGTAGTATTTTCTTTGGTCCAAGAAGAACTTAAAGCATTTTAATTCTCAAAAAGAAGTGTGGGGATGGGGGGCAGGGATATATGTATAGCTAAATTTATTCATCTAATGCAAAATATGGCATTAAAATACCTGTAAAATGTGGTAGCATAATATATGTCTTTTCCCTCTCCAAATTGGAAAATAATGTTTCCCTGAAGACTTTGGTTTAGCGGTAATTCACTTACTATTTATAGCCTCTTAGACCCTGATACAAAAGCTGCTTTAACCCCTCTCTGCTTTCTGTGCACAATAGTTTGTAATGTAAGGTGCTAGACTACTGTAAGGCTTCCTTGGGGAAAGGAATGGTAAGAAAAAAAACATTTATTTATACTTTGAAAGCCAATCCTATACCCAAAGCAGTACTATTGTTAAGGAATCAACTTCCTAGGAAGCAGATTTTCCTAGAATAAATTTATTTATTATGATGGATTTTGAAATAGTTCAAATCATATATTTTAATCTTAAGTAGTCAATTGTTTATTTCATTCTCAGAAATTCGAAGAAAAAATATATACATACAATTATATACAAATACACACACACACACACACACAATTTTAGCCGAATGTAAATACCTGGAATTCCCTAATTGCGGAATGCCAAGGGTGGTATTAAAAAGCTTTGGAGGCAGTTTAATTTTATTATTGTGAAGAGGGATCACTTCAGAGAGAAATATCCAGCTGCACATTTAAAAATGCTCTTGAGTAGAATTTGAAGTACTGCGTGCAGTTAGTGATATGTAGTAGCTGACTGTACAGTGTGCAGTGTTTAAGCAATAACTTTGATCTTTAAGTTTTGGTGTAGTTTCTCATATACTAACCAAGCTTTCAAAATATATGTACAAAGATTCCACTTCAGTTATTCTTTAAATATAATTAGGGAAGGCAGTTACTGACTTGAGTACTTAAATTTTCAAATATGTAAGCACTGTTAAAAAAACTTTTAAAAGAGCAAAGTATTTTTAAAACGTGCAACATGAAGCTTTCAGGTAAATACAATGAAAACTAAGCTATTGGTAATATAATTAAATTGCCAGAGTAAGGTAAATGCATGCTGAATCAAATGACCAAAATGTAAAATATAGATTTCAAAGGCTGTTTACCTACTTGGTAAAATATTAAATGTAAGTGTCAATAACTAATTTTATCTTATTTTGCTTTTTAAAAAGACTAAGAAGATATTGCGATTATACAATTTATGTGTTTTAAATCCTGTTTATAATATGTAACCATGTAAGTCTAATGACATTTCTGTCATGAAAATGGATTTATTATAGCAAAAAAACTATGCATTCATCTTTAGTGTATCTTTTTCAGAATAACAAGGAATCCATGTAAATACTCTAATAATCCAAATGTTTTCTATTATACTCTTATGATGTTTTTCTAATGAATTCTTTAACACAGAAATTTATTTTTGGAATCACTTTATGTCACTCGTTTAAAAATATATTGTAGACTTTGATAATCTTTAACCTGTTTACTGAAATAGTCCTTAGCCTTAAAGATGTACTAATATATGCCAATACTCATAAATGTACACTCTTTGCAAATATGTATTTTTAGAGTCTTGGTTTCATTTGGGTGGCTAGGGTTGATCTTAATTATCACTTTATTGCTGGACATTATTATCCTTTAAAATGCTGAGTGGAGCTAGTTTCTTAGGAATCTGGTTGGGTCACCTCTCACTGAATGAGAAAGCCATACTTCTGAAAAGTAATAATGCAGCGAACGTATTCAGCTGTGTGACAGATAGAGCTTGTGTGTGCAAAGCACAGGAAGCATTGGAGACACAGTATTGGCTGGTCCTGGATTTCCAACAGCTGCCCCTCACCCCTCAAAAAGTTTTCAAGACAGAATGGACATATGCAATTACAATAAACTCTTGTTTAAGATTTCTTTTCATTGATGTATAATTAAGGCTATGTTTCATGTTTCTTTAAAGCCTTGTAAAATAAAAGATTTAATCTTCATATCTATCCTTCGATGTGAAAATAGTGTTTGTAAAATGATATTTATATATCTACTATTATCTGAAAAGTTAAATTGTATTTACCTAATCTAGATAATATCCCTGAGTCTTTAAAAACACTGAGTATGATTTCTTTAAAAGGAAACAGATCAAACAGAGGAACGCCAACATCTATTTCCTTTGAGATTGCTGTTGACACACCCTCAGACAGCATTTTCAGTTTCCCTTTGTGCCATTTAACTCTGCCTCTTCTTTTCCATCATTAATGTTACTGATTGGTTTTAGCACACCAAAAATTATTTATTCAAACTCAAAGAGAAATGTTTGGCTCTAATAGTTGGCCTACCTAATTAAAATAAACCGACGTTCAAAAGCAGCTTACGTTAATAAAGCTGAGAAATCAGAAATGTCTTAAAACCCAAATACTTACAGAGATAGGAAGTGTGTGTGTGTGTGTGTGTGTGTGTGTGTGTGTGTGTGTGTGTGTAGTTTGCCTTAATTCATTTAGCAGACACTTGTACTGTGTTCCTGAAAGCCTTCTGGGAAGATGGAGGCACACCTCTGACCAGCACAGATAGACCCTGCTCTCTGACTTTAAACCAGGAGAAACTTTCATGACATAGAAGCAGGCAAGTGTGAGAGAATAAGAGGAGGTGGAGCTAATGAATACAGGGTTTGGAAGGGAGACCGCTCTGTGATGACGACATAATACAGATCTGTAAACAAAACAAACGAGTAGAAACCTGAGAGAATACCTGAGGAAAGCAAGTTCCAAGCCAAGGGAGCAAGAAACATCAAAGTTTAGAGTTGGGAGAGCAGCTGGCACATTTGAGAGTCAGCAAAGGGACCCTTGTGTGAAAAGTAGAGTCTAGTCAGCTGGGGTCAAGACAGTAAGACAAGCTGAAAGCATTAAGGTCTGCAGTTGAGCAGAGGGTAGGGCCATAGCGCTTAGGCACCCTAGGCCTTGTACACGAGGATGCTGCTCATTCTGAGCATATAGGAGACCAACTGTCTACAGAGAAAGGCCATCATCTTCTCCAGTTAGAAAAAGATGGCTGTCTTGCTGTGGATACAGGGTTCTCCCAGGATGATGGTGCTTACAGTAATCCTGGAAAAAGATGACAAAAGTGCATACTTTATCGTTCACAGTGAGGTCCATCTGTTTTGAGGTAGAGCTCACAAGATTTGATCACCAAAGTCACTTGTAGATAGTAAAAAACAAATAGAGGTGTTCCAGCAAACCACAGTATCTTAGACTGAATAACTCTGAAAGATGGAGCTGACTGAGGTAGTACATAATCTACAGAGGGAATCTGTCTGAGGAGTGTGCAGGAAGTGGAGTAGAGTGAGGGCTGGAATCAGAAGCTTAGAACACGGACTTCAAATACCTGCAAGTGGAGACTGCCATTTGGCTTTAGTTTGGAGTTTGGGAGGGCACCTAGGGTGCCCTAAACCTAGGGTTTAGAAATACATTTGAGAACTGCTCATCATAGATATAACAAACCCCTGGGACCAGAAAAGATAAACTTGTCAATAAGTAGACATGAAACACAAACTTTTCTGCAGGAGCCTGGACCAACTCACCTCACAGAGAGGCTGGAAGTAAGGAGTAACCAGGAGGTCTCAGGTAAGTGTCTCCATTAGAGAGCAGAATTTTACTCCCACTGGACCAACTGCATACATGTTCCAGATGATCTTAGTTTTGGATTTGCTTCTCATGCCAGATAAAGTGCTTTCTTGTGAGTCTTGCTGTATGCCTTAATATCATATGGTATTCACAGTGTGTCTTAAAAATGAGTTTGATGTTTCACCATGGAATTCTACAAAATACTAATTTTGAACTGGGAAAGACAATAGGAATGGCGAGCATTCTGGGGTGAGGTAGAAACCTAGTGCAATGGAAAGATATGCTGGGGTCAAGGTGATGCAGAACTTGTGAGAGTGGCCAACCAATGACCGGTCCAGCTTAAGACCCATACCATGGGAGGAAGTCCATACTTGACACTGGATGAGTCAAAGACCGAGGATAGAGCCTGTGATAGTTTCTATATGCTTGACCCAGGAAGTGGCACTATTAGGAGGTGTGGCCTTGTTGGAGTAGGTGTGTCACTGTGGGTGTGGGCTTAAGGCCCTCACCTTAGCTGCCTGGAGGTCAGTCTTCCACTAGCAGCTTTCAGATGAAGATGTAGAACTCTCAGATCTGCCTGCACCATGCCTGCCTAGATACTGCCATACCCCCACCTCGATACTGGACTGAACCTCTGAACCTGTAAGCCAGCCCCAATTAAATGTTTTCCTTTATAAGACTTTCCTTGGTCATGGTATCTGTTCACAGCAGTAAAACCCTAACTAAGACAGAGCCAAATGCAACTGGCAAAAAAAAAAAAAAAAAAAAATCAATGAAATGAGTCCTCATGATACTCTGTTATATTTGTTGACTGGAGCCTACCATAATCACCAACAGAGAGGCTTCATCTAGCCTCTGATAGAAACAGATACAGAGACCCACAGCCAAACATTAGGTAGAGCTCAAGAAATCCTGTAGAAGGAGAGAAGGATTATAGGAGCCAGAGGGGTCAAGGACACCACGAGAGAACAACCCACGGAATCAACTAACCAAGGCTCATAGGGGCTCACAGAGACTGAACCAACAATCAGGGAGCATGTATGGGTCTTACCTAGGTCCTCAGCATATATATTAGAGTTGTGTAGCTTGGTCTTCTTGTGAGACTCCTGTCAGTGGGGGCAGGTGGGGGTGCTGTCTCTGATTCCTTTTTCTACTTTTGGGACCCATTTCCTCCTATGGGGTTGCCTTGTCCAGTCTTAATATGAGGGGAGGTGCCTAGTCTTGCAACTTGCTACACCATGCTTGATTGATACCCCTAGGAAGTTTGCCCTTTTCTGAAGGGAAACAGAGGAGGAGAAGGGAGGTTAGGAAGAGGGACTGGGAGTAAACTATGAATGGAGAGGGAGGGGAAAACTATGAATATAATATATGAGTGGGTTTCACAACAGAATTCTGGAAAATACTAATTTTGACTTACAAAATCATGTACCACTAGAGAAGGAGGCAATGATCTCTCATAGGCTCAGATTTTGTCCTTTCTGTACATATTTTGTCCTAAGAGAGTGTTGCCATGCAGAATACATGTGAATGTGTACGTGTGTGCGTACACATATGTATATAGTAAAAGAAGCAAGAACTGAGTCACAGGGAAAAGGCCTCCAAATTTGTTAACAACATACTTTCAAGTTTTCCAAACTATTTAGTATCATTAGGGTACAATTTGGTTATGATTATAAATAGTTTAACTGATCCTGGTTTTATTTCCTTTCTCCATTTTAAAGATATGAGTGATATTGAACTATTTCACAAGTGCTTTATAAACATTTTCCATGAGAAGGGCAGCCTAAAATCAACTTCCTAGCCCCTTCCATAGAACTAACACCGCAATGGTGATGACAATGAATGAATCCAACTGACATTTCACAAAACCTGTACTGGACACTCTCCCAGGGCACTGCCAGTATGTTCTGTTTGCTGTGGTGAATGCTGCTCTAGGAGACAGTGCTATACACACACACACACACACACACACACACACACATGCTCACACACTCTCATGAATATAACCCATACTCACACAGACTCACACACAACACACACACAAACTCATTCACTCTCTCAAACACATACACAAAAACACACACTCTCTCACAAACACTCTCACACATACAACACACACAGACTCTCACACACACAAACTCTCTCTCTCTGTCACACACACACACACACACACACACACACACACACACACACATAGAGACACACACACATAGACACTCTTCCCTGGAAAGGATGTTACCTTCCAACTGTGAATCATTTTCGGGCCATCATCCATTTTAGCTTTCCTGACATTCCTGGTGAATTTCTTATGAAGTGTCTAATTTTCTATGGAAAGGATCATGTAGTAACCCTCAGTACCATTCCTCCTCTGACCTTGTTTTAAATCTTAGAAAAAGGAAAACAACTTTAAATTACATCTTGTCTGAGCTAAAATTATTTATATCTTATCAAAACTATTATATAATGTTTTAGACAAGAGATATTTTTAAATCAACATATTTTCAAGGGTGTTAATAACCCTACTTAACCTAGTGGTTAAATACTGTCTTGCTGAGGCTAAGTCAAATTTATGACAGCACTGACAGAAAAGGCAAACAAATCCTCACGCTGTCCAAACACTGCTTCCTCCATGGTTACATGGCAGGATTCACTGTAGACACATCCTGCTCAAATACAAAGCACTTTGCAAGCTATCTGAAAGCTGAAAGACTTCTCATGCAAATGCCAAAGTTCTTATTTTCATCTGCTAAAGAAAAAAAGCTTTATAAAGCAGATCACCGGAAAATCAATGGGATTGGTGAGGATTTCTTTTCAAAAATTTTCTATCCTATTTGAGGAAATGTTTAATTTTTTTTGAGGTTTCATTTATTTGCATTTGATGTGTATGAGGCTCTGCTTGAATGTGTGTGTGTGTGTGTGTGTGTGTGTGTGTGTGTATGGGGTGTGTGTGTGTGTGTATCATGCATGTAGTGCTCTTGGAGGCCAGCAAAGGGTTGTAGGACCCCGAAGGGCTGCTATTCCCTGGCTGAGACTTTCTGTGTGCTGCTGTCTACTAAGTAACATTCTGCGGCTCCTCTAAGATCAAAACATCCTGACTAAGGCATGGTGCCCCAGGAAGGGAATTTACACTTGACATCCTATTGCCCCCCAAGTTGAGTTCCTGCTTTTTCACATCCTGACCAATACATGGTGCCCCAGGAAGGGAATTTATACTTGACATCCTATTGCCCCCCAGTTGAGTTCCTGTTTTTTTCCTGAATTCATATTTTTCCTTCCCTGACTTGGTATATATATATTAAATCTGCTCAGTAAACATTTTGGCATTCTCTCACAACGGATGACCCGAGTCTGAGTATTTCTTTAATTCCCCCAGACCTATG